ACACACACAACCGCACACACACACACACAGCATTATATAATATATAGATAGATAGTATATACTAAGTAATATATATATATAGATAGGATGGTATAGTATGTTGTGTGTGTGTTGGTGGTGTGTATGATGATAATACTATATATATTATATATATAAGTATACCGGTATATAGGTATAGGCGTCGAAGGACTATAGCTACTCAATATATATATACGTATATGATTAATCGGTCTAAACAATAAATACAACAGATTCTGGGAGACCCAACTAAATTTTCGGCATTTGGATCCCCCGCCTCTCCCAACCCACCCCCGCATCCCTCACGAGAAAAATCCAAAGACTCTTACTACCCCCTCCGCCGTTTTCCTCCCCCTCGCCCCTCGGCGCCCCGCACCCCCAAAATTATCTTTATCGTTGCCGATTACAATAAAAAATGGTATTATAAACTGCTGTATAAAGGCAGAGACCCGATAGAAAGTAGTTCGTGTTAGCTCGTAAAGAAGTAAATCACGGGAGTAGATAGAGATTACGGGGAAAATAGCCTTGAGAAAGTGAGTGAGAGAGAAGAGCAGGACGAGAGAGAAGAGAGACGAGAGAGAGGAGAGAGAGAGAGAGAGCAGAGAGAGAGAAGAGAGGAGAGAGAGAGAGAAGAAGAGAGTGACACAGGAGGAGACAGAACCGAGGCAGAGGAGAGAGAGAGAACAGACAGGACAGCACATAGCAACAGACAGAGAGAAAAAGAGACAGAAGAGAGAGAAGGAGACGACGGGGAGAGAGAGAGAGACAGACACAAACAGACGAGAAGATGAATGGCATGATGAATAGTAGGACAGATAGATATAGGATAGAGAATACAGATAGATACGATAATAGAGAGAGAGAGAGATAGAGGGAAGGAGGGGGTGGGAGCGGCTGAAGATAGCACAAGGCATAGAGAATAGACAGAAAGGAAAGAGAAAAAGGAGAAAGGGGAAGTAAGAGAAATGAAAGAGAATTTGAAGAAAGATAACGAAGAAAGAGAGATAAACGAGGAAATGAAAGAGAAAGAAGGCAAAGGAACTTGGAAAAATATAATCGAGAAAGGGAAGAGAAGAATGAAGAGGAATAAGGATGCAAAGAGTAGAAGAATAGAAAAAAGGAAATAGAAGAGAAAAACATGCGAATGACCATCAAGTAAACGAGGGGCCCACAATCTTTTAGTTGGTAGAACAAGACAATGTAAGGGTCAAGTTTGGCGTGGTTACAAAGAGTACTCTCGAAAAGCCGGCGTTCAGTTTATAGTTGTACTATGTTTTGTCCTTTATCATGCAATTCTATAGAGCAAGTTTGTGACATATTTATGTATCTATTTTTTGAATATATGAGATGACGTCATAGTATGTCTTTATTATTTGTAGTGTATTTATTTTGGCATTATATGTTTGAAAGCAACAGATAGTATTAATGATGAATAATGATTAGATAATTGATTATCATTACTATGATCAAATGATAATCGATTAATCATCAATGTCATTATTAATTGAATCAACACAAAGAATTTGTATGGTGGAGTATGAATTCTTCGATAGGGGAAAAATCGTATCAGTTTTTTAGTCATGAAGAAGAGAGAGAAAGTATTATGGTATGATCCGGAAAGGGACGTTAATTTGTGGTGAGATAGAATGGGTTGATAATTGAATTAGGTATATAATCGCTCATTATTCAATCTATGATAATGGTGAATAATTAATGATGGTAATGATATTGATTAACTGCCTCTACTACCGACTGAAATGAAACTAAAAATGAGGTAATGATGAATTAAAATCAAGATAATGACTAAAAAGGATAGACTGTTTACTTATCATAAGGATAAGAACTGTTTTTATTATTATATGGAATGAAATAATTGTTAATGTAGATAATGATGAAATATATTCTTACAATAAAGAAACATGTGTTTAAATCAATATCGATAGGGATATGATATGATACAGAGATGATAAGATATGAATGATAAGGAATAAAGGATGATAAGAATGTAATAGAATGACTAGAATTATATCATTAGTGTGTAGCTAAGAGCTGCTATTAGAAAAACGAAATCATTACTATCATGTATAAACATGTACTGTTAGTACACATTAGAATATACGATATGTTCTAAGCAGGAGAGAAGGACGTCTCCACTCGTACTTGAAAAAGGAGTGTCTATGATGAAAATAGTTAAATTCCTTAAGTGAGAATATGATCTTTAGTGGCTATAGCGATCTATTGCCATTGCGTGGAGGTATGACGCGCTGATGGAGATGATACACTAAGTTGTGATAAGATAAAATCATATGTCACGAATCTGTTATAAGGTTAAAGTAAGTCAAGAGTCAAGATTACAGCATTTATTACTAGAAGAAAGAGGATAACAGTCGTAAATTGCCGGAATAAGTAAATGTACCGAGGAATCAGTTACTCCAGGAAGAGAAAGAGAGCCGATGATAGAAACCATTGAGACGATCATTTGCTTCACTATGTAAGCTTCTCTTATTCCTTTTATATTGCTCTCATTTCATTCCCAATTCGCTTTCTCGTCTACCCCTTCCAAACTCTCGCTTTCAATCAAGAATCTCTCGCGAGTTCTCCATCGGAACGATCTCTCCCTTTCTCTCTACCACTGTCCCCTGCCCGATCATTTTCTCACTTACCCTTGCACTAATTCGATTCTATCCAGAAGCGACAATTCTAGTATCTCTCCCTGTTCCGTTTACTGTTCAGCTTTTAGTAACATGTAATTTACGAAACCAGATTAGGCATATAGAGTACAGATATAAAAAAGGAAGGGAAGGAGGGAGGGAAAGGGAGGAGGGAGAGATAGATAGGATAGAATAATAGATAAGAGTAAGATAGAAAGATAAGATAATAAGATAGGAAGAGAATAGAGAGAGGAAGAGAGAGACTGGAGACAGAAAAAAAAAGGAGGAGGGACGGAGGGAAGAAGGAAGAGGAGAAAGAGAGAGAAGAAGAGAAAGAGAGAGAGGAAAAAGAACGAAGAGAGAGAGAGGAGAAGAGAAGAAAAGGAGAGGAGAGAGAAAGAAGAAGAGAGAGAAGAAAGAATGAAAGAGAGAGAGAAAGAAAAGAGAGAAAGAAAGAGAGAGAGAAGAGATGCAGAAATCAGACTACAGAATAACAACAAGAGAAAAAAAAAAAAAAAAAAAAGAAAAAGCCAGACAAAACAAGAACCAAAAAAATAAAAAAAGAAAAAAAAAAAAAATCAAACAGCACTCAGACCGCAGCTCCGTCCATATGTATCCCACAGTCTAATTGTAGTTTCAAAAACACAGATCAATAGATATAGATGTCCGCAGTTTTGCCACCAGACTCCCAGACCAGCCAGTCCGCGTGACAGAGCCATAACCCCGACAAATAAGCGGCGAGACAGATCCTCGCAAGAAACAGCAAAGAAGGGCCGTGACTGAAGGGTGGAGATGTACAAAAGGGCAAGCGGAGGAAGAGCGATGAGACCACGCATGTCCTCCGCCGATCGGAAAGCTGGAACGCTCCCAAAGCGACCGCGGTCGTCGGCGTACCTCGTAATATTAGTATGCGAGACTCCGTGAAGTCCGTGTCAAACGAACCAGAGCCCGCCATCAAGAGACCGTCGCATAGCCGGTCCGGTCCGGCCTGCCGCTGTAGGGGTATCTGGATCAAGTGCGTGAGACGCAGCGGTGTAACTCAGCTTATCTTTTCTACGAATTTTGTTTGTGGTTTGATTAAAGTTGTGATTTAGATATCGGTAACTAACACTAAACTGTTGGCGGGTAATGCTTTTTTTTTTCGATTTTATTGGGAGTTTGATATCTTTTTACGATTTTGTTGGGGTGTTTGATTAAAATTGTGATTAGAATCGGTAAAAAATATTATATATTTATAATGTGTGGCGGATAATGATTACATTGTGATTAATAAATCGGTAAATATGAAATAAATGTGTGGCGGATAATCTTTTTTTCGATTTTATTGGGGGGTTTGATATGCTTTTTTCGATTTTGTTGGGGTGTTTGATTAAATTGTGATTAGCATATCGGTAAATAGAATAACGTAATGTGTTTGGGGGTAATGCTTTTTTTTCGATTTTATTGGGAGTTTGATTAATTGTGATAGCATAATCGCTAAAAAAGATAAAATGTGTGTCTTAGGATTATATGATTTGGATGGGAAAAAAGCAACAATGGGGATGGAATGGCATGATAGATAAATAAGGAACAGAAAGAAGGAAATTAAAAAGGAAAGGAAGAAAAAAAGAGGAAACGATGTAGACAGGTTAAGCATAGAAACCGAAGGAAGAGGGAGAGAGCGAAGAGAGAGAAGCGAGAAGGTAGGAAAAGGGAAAGAAAGAAATGACGAATGAAGACAGAAAGGGGAAAAAGAAGACAGATAGAAAGAAAAAGGAGAGTAATAATAAGAAAGAATAAAAGTGAGCAGAGGAACGAAAGGCAATAGCAAGAGAACCAACAACACGATCTTGGATGGAAAAGGGACAGAGAAGGTGAGAACAAGAGCGAGAGAGCGAAGAAAGACAAAAGTAAAGGAGAAAAGGAAAAGAGGAGGAAGAGGAGAAAGCGGATGTGGAGAAAATGCAGAGCGGAAACACAAAGGAAAAAAAAAAAGAAGAACTGAGAAGGCAAGAGAAGAGGAAAGAGAGAAGAGAGGGGAAGAGAGAGAGAGAGAGAAGAGAGAAGAAGAGAAGAAGAGGAGAGGAAAAGGGAAAAGAAGGAGAGAGAGAAGAGAGAGAGAGAATAAAGAAGAGAGAGCCATAGAGAGAGGGAGACAAAAAGGACAAGAAAAAAAAAATAAAAAAGAAAAAAAAATGAATAGAGAGAATAAACACGAAAAGATAAAATCTCTTTTTATTCAGATCTACTCAGTCCCTTAACACCCCTTCATTTCCACCCTCAAAACGCACCCAACCATTCCACTCATCCACCTAACAGACTTCACACACGTTCCGCTGGCGACCGCCCACATCATCCCGTTATAGGAACCCGTTTGGACGGAGCACGAGCAGTCCGAAGCACCTCAGTGGGGACCAGCACGCCCGTGAAATTGTGGCGCGCCCGCGGTATAACCTTCAGAATCTCCACGATGTAACCGCCCGCGCTGTCCAGGCTGGCGCCGTCCTCAAACTCGAACACTTGCGGTTTCTGTGGGCGGGATGTGGGCGTGGGCAGCGTTAGTAATGCGGCGGGGTGCGGCGCGTGGGCGATTTGGTAATGTGGGCGCGGGTACGGGCTGTGGGTGTTTGGTAATGTGGGCGGATGCGGGCGTGGGCGTTTAGTAATGTGGGCGGGATGCGGGCGTGGGCGTTTAGTAATGTGGGGATGCGGCGTGGGCGTTTGTAAATGTGGGCGTGGCGTTTGTAATGTGGGCGGGATGGGTTCGTGGGCGTTTAGTAATGTGGGCGGGATGGGTTTGTGGTCTGGGTCGGCGTGGGCGTAGAGATTTTGTCTCTCATCGTGTGTTGGATATTCGAATGCTAACAATAACCAGCAGATTATATGCACAAAAAACAATATAACTCATAAGAAATCACAATAGCCAGTAAATTGTACACAAGATATTCAACTAATAAATAAATCACAACATACAGCAAATTCTACTCATACAAAAACAACACAACCGATAAATAAATAAATGTTCAATGTTCCACCTATAGTTAAATCCAACATACCTTTATGCAAGCAATTCTGACGGTTTTGTTCATAAAGTCGAAAGGCGGTTGAGGCCAGATGGGTTTGTAGCTCTCGAGTCCCGCGGCGCTCCAGCTGGCCACGAACTCCAGCTGTGAGGAGCCGTCGCCGCTGCGCTGCACTCCTGCTATGGCCACCCACCTGGGGGATATTAGCGGGGTCTTGGGAGGAAATATAAGGCTTTTTATTCGTTTTTTGATATTCTTTCTGTGTTTTTTTTATGATTTATTCAGTTCCTAATTCCATTCGCTTTTGTTTTTTTATTCTTTTTTGTGGGGTGGGAAGGATGGTTCTTTTATTTTTCATTTATTCATTTTTTTTTCTTTTTATTTAATTTCTCTTTTGTGTTCTATTTTTTTCAACTAATCATTTATTCTTCCCTTTATCCCTTTATCTATCTCTACCTGCTCCGCCGCGCTTCGAAAATTTTTGGCGCCAAAACAAAACAAAAACAAAACAAAAACAAATGACTCTCACGTGTCTGCGGGAACCTCAGTCTCATTCTCGCTTGACGCCAGCCTCCCCGAGTGCACCAGCAGGACGCCCTTCACGCTCTCCTCCAGGACTCGGGAGACGCGGCCGCAGATCTCGGAGAAGGAAAGAGGCGCAGAAGGAGGAGGCAGCGGCGAGGTGGAGGGAAGACGGCCTTGGGGGAGGGGGGAGAGGGGCGGGGGCCGGGCAGTCGCTCGCCACCCAGAACCAGCGGGTTTTCTTCGGGGTTTATGTATATATATATGTATATGTATATATATATATATATATATATATATATATATATATATAATATATATATATATATATGTATATATATATATATATATATATATATATATATATATATATGTACCATATATATATATATATATATATTATATATATATATATATATATATGTAATATATATATATATATGTATATTATATATATATATGTAATATATATATATATATATATTATATATATACATATATATATATATATATTATATATATTTATATACATATATATACATATATATATATATACATATATATACATATATAATATAACATATATAATACATATATATATATATATATATATATATATATATACATATATATATATACATATTATATACATATATATACATATATATATATACATATATATACATATATATATATATATATATATATATATCATATACATATATAATATATATATATACTATATATATATATATATATAGTATATATATATATACATATACATATTATATTATATATATATATATATATATATATATATATATATATTATATATATATATATATACATATATATATAATATATATATATATATATATGTTATATTATATGTATAGACACATCACTTTTTTGGAATACCATTTACAACATGAAAAGCTACATGTTCCCATCTCTAAAAGAGGCGAGTGCAAATAACTCGCAGCGCCTCATTAAACTATCATTATCACAAATCACTCCATATGTCATTATTACAGGTGTAGTCCTTACCTGCGCATTGATTTTGAAAGCGTCGTAGAATGGCCTGACCTGTTAGAGAGAAGAATTTTCGTTAGTCAAGTTTTTTTTTTGAGGTTGATTAAACTAATTTGAATATGTTTATTTCTTTAACGACCGACTGAGGCCAAAATGAAGGTCGATTCTCTTATTAATCTGAACAAATAGTATTTTTTATGAGCTTTTGACTATGAACACAACAAACAGTATATCACTTTCAGAAATAAGTCTCTTTTCTCAGTTTATAAATACCAAACATTCATAATTCTCACCAAGGGATTATAAATACCTGTCATTCATAATTTTCACCAAGGGATTGCCAATATAAACTATAACGAGTATCTTCAAGAAAAATAAATGTCTTTCAGTCGTAGATGATGATAAGCACGATGGCTATTAATCTTATTCACGAGCAGCCGTTACTAATAGTTTTCGCAAATGATTATTAGCCCCCCTCAAAAAAATTAAGGGGTGCGTTCGAGAAATATAATGTCATAAAGGAAAAAGAGAGAGATAATAACAAGGGAGAGTGATAAATAGACTATGCATTTAATGAACACAGAATAGGACAGGAGGAAGCACGTAGATGACCCTATCACCAAAATGTACACAGGAAGCTCACAGCCCTATTACGTACAAGAAGAGGCGACATGGGAACTGATGTAAATAAAAAGGCAACGAAAAAGGTAAACCACACACCCAGAGAAAAAAAAAAACAAAACATTTAAGAACAACACTTAAGTAAGGTAATAGGTGAGCCGAGGATTCACAAACATCCCTACATAAGGAAAGAAGGCACGCCACCCAGGCGACAACCGCGAACAGATGGGACGACCAACGTGATGATACACGACCAAATAGATGACTCAGTGCATCAAACATCTTTAAAACGTAACGGTTATCCAGAAACGGTACGACCACCAGACCACACGACGAATGAAGTTCTTACAACACGGCGTAAGCTCAAGTCCGGAACACGGCGAATTTACCCTAACCCACACATCAACACCAAAACACTCACGTATGACCACACTACACAACTGACAAAGCACACCAAATGCTTTAGCAGAGCACCATACAAGAGACAGGGATGGAGTTACGTATGAACCTGAATTCGAACACAGGCGAGCCACAGCAGAGGTGAGCGCCCTATACCGAAGAAACAAACCACTCTGGCCTACGATACAAGAGCCACAGGCAGGACAGAACCACACACACAACGAGGACACACCCGCAACACGAAAATCTCACCAACGCAAAGGCGACAACAACACAGAACGCATAAAAGCACGGAGATTAAGCAAACACCACACCCACACACACCCAACAAGAAAGCCTAAGACAGACACAACTCACACACTTAATAGGTCTTAAGCCAAGAAGAAAACAGACATGAGTCAGGCGAGGAAGCCCCAAAGACGGATAAGCACAAGCACACAGACAGAGCAGGAAGAGGAAAACAACAGAGCAGCAGGGGCAAACATACTGGAAGAGCAAGATCGGAAACAGCCCACGACCACAACCGGCCCACATTAAACAAGTTCGTAAACACAAGGAGGGAAATAACGAAACCACAGATGAGCTCAACCCACGGAACACAGACACCAGAGCTGACACCACAACACGACACGCGGAGCGCAACACACAACAGAGAGGCACAGCCCAATGACAGGATCCCGAACTTACACCACAAACAGGAAGAACTCACTACAACTGATGGTTATTGAAACAAGGAACAGGGAACCATAATTAAACACACACAACAACCCGGACAAGACAACACACCACACACACGATACACAATGCAATACACCACACACACTACAGAATCCAAAAGAAGCGAGAGAAAGAAGCATGAACAACAACAACACACAAACAGGAGAAACCGCAAACAAGAACCACCAGCAATAAAGCAACAGAGACACACACGACACACAGATCACACAAAGCAGAACATCGCTGAATCGACAGAGACGCAGCCACACTCACAACCAAAAGACGGCTAGAAAAACCGGAGAACTACACACCCTACACGCCTCAGGACTGGTACAGCTACACACCACGACCGAGACGCCCGAAGTAGAACCAGAACTACGAAACACAGAACCACACGGCAACTACGGCACAGCTACAGCAGCAACGAGACGCGATGCCGAAAGTACAACGCAGAGAGGAGGAAACCACACGGGACCAGAACACACCAGAACAGACCCCACCCCCACCACACTGAACAACGTTACAAACAACGAAGACCCACAACACTAACATGTAGTGCGCCCCGAGGAAATCCGGAAACCACGAGCAGATGAGCGGAAGAGAAAACAAACGAGAACAACCAACACACAACATCGGCACCACCAAGCGCACGCCAACACAACCACCTTACACACTACGATAGAAAAATTACGAAAGACCTAACTTGATCGAACAGAGACCTATGACCACCATCACAATCATATACCCAGGCGACCCGAAGACCACTACAATACACAACACCACATTAACAATTATCCGAATTCACGTCTAACAGCAAACTAACCAACATATCAAATACGCATTTTACAACACTACCATCGATCAACAACGACAACCACAAGCCCAGTACAAACACAGTGAACCACCATCGAACAAAGAACAAACAAATCCCGAGCAAGACGACGAAGCAGAGCGCCAAGCAGACCACGACAACAGTGGAAATCATCTGATACATAGAACACCAAAACAAACATCATCAACCCGTTTCACGATAACACCCAAACATCAGAAAGACACAACTATAATCACATGACGACGACCACATAACAATTCATACACACACAAGAAACATCACACAGGAACACCACTGACAGCACACAGCGAGACTACGAACTCAAACCAAACACGAAACACCCCACACAATACGAACGAACCATTAAATCACATAAGAATAACCTGACAACACGAACGAACACAAGCCCAGGAGGCACCACATACAACGCAGCCACAAACCACCACCACCACCCACGTATCAATCCAGCATTGCATCTCACACGTACCACCAAAAATCAATCAGTCTAACAAATACAACACGCCCTGACGACAAACCAGCGCACATAGATACTAGACCAACGAACGAATCACCATAGGATCAATTCAACACCATACCTAATCTTACATTCACGTTCCACCACGAAAATGTGCAGTAAACTTCATATCATCCAGTCAATACACTAAACACCGACAACAACCATCTACGTAAACTCAACACACACTCTCACATCTACATCAAGCCCAACACCGCACAACAGACAGAACAACTCCATCTACATACACCCTAGCAAATCTATTGAAAAAATCTTTTCGTATAAACTCCCGGCATCCATAGCCAGAATATTATTACGATATGAAGCCACACTTAATACTTTTACTAATCAACACATCCATATAAACGAATACATCAGACTAAGAAAGTTAAAAATCATCTTCGTTGATAGCAGAAGATTGGCACACAACTATAACACCGAGTACGACCAACATCTCTTACTACCCCAAGAACACACATCAGAAAGAACAATTACCGATATACTCATATTAAATACACATACCATACTACATCAACTTTTCATTCACCGATTATCCATCATACAGACAATCGAAATAAGTCATATTCAAGTTAGGCTATACTATCACACAAGTAGGTATCTAAAATTTCAGTTCTCAAGGTATCATACAGTACACAGATACACCAGGATACGCAAGATCTCACGACTGTACCCAATGAACCATAAAACCCGATATTATGCGTATGTAGGTTATTTCGAATTAACCACCAAGAGCAGACCAAGAGGGCAAGATAACATCGCACGTCCATTTCTACTTAAAACACACAGAGACGTATACTAATCATTAAACCTCAACCTTCAAATAAATCTAATAATTAGATGACGGTGGACACCACATTAAATAGACATCATCAATCTTACGCAACCGAACGACAGTAAGAACCACACATCACAGCGACACTACAAAACAACAACATATATATTAATACAATCACACAGAATTACCGATCACACAACACGATAGTACCACACGACTGCACCTACCTCGAAGCACTTACAATTACACACCAAGACATTTCCATCACGACCTCAGTTGACAACACACAATCAACGCTGGTAGTAAACAACACACTAAATCAACCTCGGGACCACACACATTGCTACATAGCAGACACGGGTAGAGACAGCACGCAGAAGACTTCACCAGAACCAGCCGATCTAGCATCTTTACTTTACAACGACATCAAATTATTTGGTACACATCAACATACACCCAACACACGCTAGAGTCGATATTAGAATATTAGTGCCAACACACATACGCACACAGTGGTACCACCTACAAACTTCTGATTCACAAGTCATACAAAAGAGCACCAGACCACAACATATCAACAACTTAATAAAACACATAACGAATTACCACTACAGCAACTTAATGGAAACAATGGCAATCTAGAAAATTCAGTATCCTTAGAGACTATTTACACAAGGATCAGCAAACCACCCACACACAATACAGGACTAATCACACCAAGCACACAGAATTACATAACAAGTGAATTGAAGAACGACCTAAATGTAATCTAACGCGAAACGTAAACGAGAGAGAGACAGAGGGGGTAATAATTACTCTCATCATCAACTTACTACTACTGTTGGGAGTACGGGAGAGATAGTAGATAGATAGAGATGAGAGAGAGAGGATGATGAATGAAAAGATTATACCTGACGCTTTAATTCGAATTAGATGTCATATAATCACGTAGAATTCAAAAAGCAGCAATCCGAGTCCGAATCACACCAGCGACAACCATCATAACACAATAAATACTTCGAGAACAAAGCAACAATCC